CTTATCTGATTTCAAACACAATGAACATGGTGTTCCTCAAGGGTCATTATTAGGACTATATTATACACCGAAGAGTAACTATATATGGTTCCAGTGAAAAATTATTAGTTTGCAGAGGATTTGACGTTCATATATTCTTGCAAACTGAGATCAGATCGGCACAGAATTCAAGAAGACTTAGATAATGAATCCGAAAACTGGTTTACATCCCACAAACTCAAACTTGATAAAGATAAATCATCACAGTATCTTTATCTTTCGTCTATGGATGTCCTACGACAACTTCAAACAAACTATAACCAATTTAAATGCACTCAGAACAACATATTTTTTTTAATTTCATTCACACATAAGTTACGCTACTATTCTCTGGGGTGGTTCATCGGATTCTCTCTCAATTTTTCGTTTACAGAAAAAAGCTGTCAGGATCTTTTTCTGTGTCAGCTATCTGGAATACTGCCAACCTTTCTTTACCAAGCACAGAATAATGCCCTTACCGTGTTTGTACATTCTAAAAGTTCTAACAGAGATTTACAAAAACTCCTCGATGCTCACCAAGCAATTGGACATACATAGCTATGCTATGACCTGACCAAATCTAAGAAAAATTCACTAAATTATTATATCAACAATATATTACCATCGAAATTGAAATCATTAAGTATACATTTATTCAAAATATGGATGAAAAACTTACTTTTGATTTATTGTTCCTATTCCACAGAGGAATAAATTGAATATTTCAGACTTTGTAGGGAATAAAATTGATCCCGCCCAATTTTTCAGTTTTATGTTAACTCTATGGTTTTTCAACTATCGTTTCTTGTTTCAATATCATTTTCAAAAATCACATCAAATAATTTTCCTTTATTTTCCTTATTTTAATAATAATATTAGTTACAGGAAGGATTTGAAGCTTTATAACTTCTATTTATTTATATGCGAGCGCTTTCGACATCTGGTCCTGCTGTCATCATCCAGGCTCTACTCAAACTGAACGTGTCNGTGTGTTCGGCGAGTCTTGGCCTACACCTGCCGATATAAAGGAGATGTCTCCCAGCGACCTGTCCACCTTCCTGGAAAGGACAGGATGGACGACGACCTAGGAAGAAAACTCCTTGGGAGGATGTACAATGGGTCACATGTGGCCTAAGTGCGTGGGCTTACACTCACCCTCCCTACTCTACAGATACAGATAGAAGGAAGCAACAACGAAGCTGACCGGAACATCTGATGGCTACAGAGATAGGTCTCTAATTTCCGCAACAAAGTTTGTTGAATTCTTGACGAAGAAGTTTGTTTTTACCACATGAGGCTGGAGGAATGAAGCCAGATGCTCCACCAGGTGGTAGATCAGCGAGTCTGAGACACTGACTGATGATTTCAGTGGCATGTTGATTTCTGTACCTCCGGAAGACCGTAGAGCCTGAGTGGAACGGCCTCAGTTCTGGGAATGGTTTTCTGTACTGTTTTCGGTAGTGAGAAAGATCAGTCATTACCGATACTTCGAGATATGTCGGTCGTCCCCGCAGTCAATGTCTTCGAGAAGTGCCTGGGGAGCTCATTGGTGTTCAAGCACTTTTCTGAATGTCCTGTTATCGTTGAGGGTCCACTATTTATCACACATGACGATCAGATCCAAAAAAGGAAAGTTTTCGTTGCTTGAAAGCAGAGGAGGGCGGAATTTGTACGTGACAGTTTCTGTCAACCTTTTCAATACGTTTTAAACCATCAAAAACCGCCAGGAAGCTGATGGCCGCAATCCTACGTACGGTTTGAGGATCCATGAGGATCCTCAAATCCTCGTTCAAGATTATTGTAGCACGAATTTCGTGAAGGTCGTCCAAAATCAGTTGTTGTTCCGAAAACCGTTTATGCTGTGCACGAACTGATATTGCAAGATCGTCATGTGACCTATCGTGAGATTGGGACAGCTTTAGACATTAGTGGGACCAGCATACATACAATATCGCATAAACATTTGACTGTTAAAAACATTTGTTCGCGTTGGATCCCACACAGTTTGTCAATCGCTCAAAAACAGACTCGTGTCGATTGGTCGAAGGAAATGCTCAAAGAATACGATCGCGGTGCTTCGAAACACGTCTATCACATCGTGACAGGTGATGAATCGTAGATTCTCTAATCCCGAAATATAAAAGGCAATATTCATTGGATCATAGAGCTACAGAAACAAATGAAATCGTAACGAATCAAACTTTAGAAACGACCTGAGTGAAAATTATCGCGATAATTTCATTGAACTTTTTTGAAAATTGCCCAACGGACAGTATACAACGATATACACTCGAAACAGATATTAATTATTATACTTTTTCTGGAAATTCGTCAGAGGACTAATTTAATTAAGGTGAAGGTAAGATAAGTTAACTATTCCTTTCACTGTATATTTGGACAAGCAGAACTCACGTACTATAAATATGCCTCGCTTCACGTGAATGTTATATCTCCAGCCGAAGTTATATGTAGAGCATGAAAAGGGTACGAGAAGTCAGTGAATATAATTTCTTGATATATGTAGTATCCTACAAGACGAATATCAACTTCACCGGAGTTTCGCAAACATCAGACTTGGAACTGTTCATTTCTGAATAAATTCATAACTTCCTTCCTGCGTTCCTTCTCACTCACCTAAGAAGATATGAATGATTCATGGGTGAAATTATCCTATAAAGTGTTTCGATTGTTCCGGAATAATCTTCGGAATGTTTATTCGATTCGGAATTTTCATCACGGTTTTGGCCCCTAGTGAAAGCCATAGCCTTGAAGTGAACTCAAAAAGTCTGTATTTGCAAAATGTTGCCATGTGATGGTTTTTGTGATACGTCTGTGGATTGGCACAAATAATTCGGGAAATTATGTTCATGATGAGATGATCCCAGAAATGATTTTCTAATGATGGATATATAATCATTATCTTGACGTCTGTTATAGGATAGCAAATAAACATCTTTTTCATGATTGAACTATATGGTATCTGATGGAATTACAAACAGTATGAAATTATTTCGTATTGAATAATTTTTTGACCTGCATTTCTGCCGATGAATTGAAAATATTAGAAAGAGAATAAATAATTTCCTTTTCTATCCACAAACAGAAAACAAAATATTCAAGAATAGAATTTATCATTGATTCAGAATAGTGCTATTTTCAGTACATATAAGAGACATTAAAAGAATACAAAAAGTACTCAAAACGCCAGAAAAAAAGTTTTCATTTTTGTGAGATCACTTCACTCACCTCATAATCTGAAAGGTTGAGATAACCGACGGATGATAAATTTCCCCTAAAGAAAAATGGCTCAAGTATTTGGTCGTTAAGTATCCCACACCATACATTAGTTTAAAAGGAATACTGATCACCACATTCAACTGTGAAATTGGGATTTTCTTGGGCCCACTATCGGCAATTTTGATAACTTACCGTTCCATTTGAAGAGAACGATGCCTCATCTGTCCATGAAATTTTATACGGAAACTTTACATTTTCTTCTCTCTCTCTCCTTGAAACCAGAATGAAAACCCCAAACGGACATCAAAATCTCGTTCTTTCAATGTGTTAATAAATGTTGGCTTGTAAGGCCAAAATTCATTCCTTACTAAAAATTTTCCACCACATCGATATTTTTTATAATATCGGTTATGCTCGTTTGCCCGTGTTCAATAACTTTTGAACAAATGTTAAGTTGGGCCTCCTCATCATATTTACTTGTAGTGTGCTTTTTTTTAAATTTATTTGCTACGGACCCTGTTTCTCTGAATTTCGACATTATCCTTGACACAGTAGTATGTTGAACATTTTTTCCTGGATGCCGTTCATTAAAAATGTTAGCTACTTGCCGGTATGGTGTATTCTCACCACATATTAAAACTATTTCTATTCTTTCCTGAAGAGACAACATTATTGCAACAATAACTGTTAAAAATTTGACAAGTAAATCAACAACTTGACACTACCATAGCATGCATTTTGTTTGTCAAGACCCACTTAAAAATTTTATTCAACGTGATTAAGCATCCTTACCGCTCTAGTTAGTGTTTATAAATGATCTGAATAGTGAAATTTCAATGTGATTTCAACTCTGGTAATTTTATTAATACCTTTTGCAGCTTTTGAGTTGTGTCTGCTTCTTCAAAATTGAAGGTACTGACGTTTGTTTAAGAAAATAGCCAAGTGATTAAAACTTTGCACCAGTCATGTTGAAATTCTTGATAGCACATTTTTAATTTCTCTCTAAAAATGTCCGTATGACTGAAAATTTATCAGAAAAGTTAAACTCCATGATGAGTTTGTTATGTATACATTAATTGATTACAATTAACCGAACTTGTTTTTTAAAATAAAGGGGATATCTGTCAAAAATAAGCAAAACGTTAACTTCATCCTAGTTGCATGAAATTTGGCATATGGATATGAAATTGCCGTAGACACAACTTTTTCAAGTAACTCTTTGTTAAATTCGATCTAGAAATGCACTTTTTCAATTTCTTTTTAAAAAAAGTTGAATTTGACAAACACTGAACGTCAGTGGGTCGCAATTGGCCGCATCATTAAGTTAAATTCAAAGCACAAACAAGTGCCGAAGTTGAACTTTATTGAAACTTTTCGAAAAAAAATTTTTCAATATAGTGCGCACTTTAATGGTGACACTGTATATTTCTCAATGTCGTTTTTTAGGTTTGAGGGCCACCGTGATATGTAATTTATTCTTTACGTTTCAACAGTACAATGATGATGTATTTGGTGAAAGTTCCCCCTTGAAAAGAAAATCGACGAGTCTGAGCGATTTTCAATTTTTTTCACGAGTTCGCAGATTGGGGAGAGACACGTTTTAGCTAGGACACACTGTACACACTCCAGTGCTTCTGAAAGTCACATGTTCCTTGAGTCTTCCATTTCAATTTCAAACCTATAGTAACTTTCTTAATAATCAACTGAAAAAAGGTGTAAAAAAGTGGAACAAATTCAAACACACATTAAAAAAATGAGTTTATGCGATAAAATTAAGACACAATCTAGTATACTACTGTTGTTGCTGACGAACGCAATATTTGGCGACTAGAGGAAAGTTTGAAATGGAAAATGTTATTTCCACTCTATTACATTGCATCAAATTCCTTCACTCCGTTCGGTTACATTTATGTCAAATTTTATCAACTGTTCACTCACATCAGTCATTTGAATTTAGACTTGAAAAATTCATCGAAGTCGTACAGGTTGTCGTTATAACTTTTAGTCGTTTCTTTCAACCACGTCTTTTTAATATAGTCACTTCCCTTTTCACCAATCATGATAGTGGGTGCGTTGGTGTTTCCTCTCACGATTTTCGGCATGATCGAAGCATCAATGACTCTCAACTTCTGTACACCATACACTCTTAGTTCAGAGTCCACAACTGCTCTCACGTCTTCTTTTGGTCCCATTTTGCAGGTTCCCACTGGATGGTAGATAGTTGTGGTGTACGCCATAGCTACACACGCCCAATATTCGTCAGTACCAAAATGAATATGTTGACAAGATGGAAGTGGGGTCGTGTCTAACATAATCCCGTAATGTTGGAAGAAGTGACTTCTTTCCAGATTCAGACACTGTTTGACCCCTTCCACCATCCTCAACAGATCTATTTCTTCTGTGAAGGTGTTGGCATAGATCAGAGGAGTTCCGAAAACTGGATCAGTATCGTTGAGTAATATACGACCTCTCGATTCTGGATTGAGCAGGATTGGCCTGGACATCAATCCACTATAGTATGGAAGAGGAAGTACTGCTGTATTGTAACTCAAACTAGGATCTGTAAAGAAGTTATCAGCGTTCACCGAATCTATCGAAATTTGTATATCCGGTCTATCGTGACTGTTCTCATACTTAGTCTGAACGAAAGCATTCGCTTGGATTGGACCTGTCGATGCCAGCGGGCCTTGCTGACTCTCCTTCCACTTGTATATATCTTGCCTCAGCTGCTCGTCATCCACCAGTGTCGATGTGTAATTCGTGAGACGAAAAACAACACCGTCAATTGTTGTGTGGTCATGCAGATTGAATCCTACTGCAGAGTCTTTGAGAACCTTTATACCGTTCTCTTGTAGATGATGTGCTGGTCCAATTCCGCTGAGCATGAGAATCACTGGGGAATTTATCGTCCCAGCAGAGAGAATAACCTCTTTTTTAACCAAAGCTTGAACTAATTTACCTTTCTGACTGTATTCAACACCATAAGCGGCCTTCGTTTCAGGATCTATGAGAACTCTTGTTACATGCGCGTTAGTCTGAACGACTAGGTTCTCCCTTTTGTTCCTTATCGGTCTTATGAAAGCTTTGTTAGTGCTCATCCTTTCTCCGTCTCTGGTAGTATGTTGTAACAATGAGGTTCCAATCAGATGTTCTGTATTCTGGTCAATTTTTTTCAAGCCCAGTTCTTGATAAGCATCCAAGAGACCTAACGTATTCTCGTCCTGGTAAGGGAAAATTTCCACAGTTTGGTAACCTCCAACACCATGATAATGTGGATCTATTTTCTCCGGGTTTCTATTATCTTCGGATTTGATGAAATATGAAAGGACATCTTCGTAAGACCAGCCGTGGTTACCCATTTCCTCCCATTCATCATAGTCTCTAGGGTGTCCCCTGATGTAGATCAAGTAGTTGATGGTGGAAGATCCTCCCATGACTTTGCCTCTAGCCCAGTTGCATCTGCCTTCATCCCTAGCTAGGCAACTTTTTGGGGATGGTTGGGTTGAATACCCCCAGTCGATGCTGGAACCCTGCAGAGCTGACGCGAACCCAGGAACTTCTGCTACAACTGGTTCCTCGTCTCCGGCTTCCAGAAGAAGAACCTGCAAGTGAAAACTTGTATCAGAATCGACACCAAGGTTGAAACAGAATATTACTCGAATTGGAAATGAAACATAATTGAAGCGAATTCAAAATTCGATTATTACGTCTTTGGTCCCCATGAATAGTTAATAAGTATGAGTGTGGCGAACCGACTTTCGTATAGTGACCTTACTTCGTCTCTATCACAATGTGTCAAAGTACAAAATGACATGATAATAAAATGAATATATAGTTTGCTAAAACATGATGACTACCCGCAGAAATGTAATGATGGAATTTCTGTTAGAGATATTATCTCATATTCAGAAGAATTTCCGGAGGGATTCGATGTCACTAGTCGACAATTTTATCAAAGGCAATGCCATCTTGATATTTCAATAAAAAATATCAAGCAGCAAAAAATCTGGTGACCCTGCAGGCCACTCAATGATGATAATTCAGACCAACATTTTCTTTGGAGTGTTTTGAAAAGAAGTGGCATGGAATAGACTTCACAGTTATCAGATTTGTTATCCCGTGATACTTTCATGTTGATGTTTGAAGAGTCGAATCTATACAACACAAACAGCGTCTAAGAGAAATTTTCTTGTAGAATTTCCGAGCATGTTGTGTCGATCCACTTTGAAAATGCTGTGGAATGTTGTGAAAATAATTTTAAACGAGTTCTTCAATACTGTACTGTAAATATGTGATCAACAGTTTTGACTAATGAGCTGATATGGAAATTTCAAGAGCTTCATAAAAACATTTCTCTTGACCCTGTCGATGATTCTTGAATTTCCTTTAAACGTCGTTGGGCCACCGTGTATACTTGAATCGGGTGTCATTTAATTGCCTAATGAAGTATTGCATTTATATTTTTCGTTATTATGTTAAGAATGTTTGAAAGTCATTATGCTAATAATATAAAATGTTCACGTGTTCCAGTTTCAGTACTTTCAAATTCCAATACCGATTACTTCCAGTTCCTTTCATTTGTTTTTGTTCGATGTAGACTTTGGCAGTTCCTACTTCCTACGAGTTTTGGTATTTATTCGAGGAACGAAAACGTGAGCTTCATAGCTTTCGAAGTATGATTTCATTATTTATTGTATGATCTCGAATTGTTTGGAATGAATTTTCAAAACTTTTGGTAAAAACTCCGCTCACTCTATTCGAACTGACTGTTTCGTCAACTCAACATTCATGATGAGTGGAGTCGATTTGATTTATTCAATTCCCGAAACATCTCTCTTTCTCTCTCTGTTAGTTCAAAAGTGGCTAGCAAGAAAAATCATTGCTGATTCAATAGAGATATTATCAATGTTTTTTTATAATCTTGATCGGTTTCAACTTGTTATAGAAAGTATTTATCATACTATCATTATTATCATTTTTACTGTAGTATACACTGATCAGGCTCTGTCTCCCAAAGCCCCGATACATTCAGGAGAGCGCGCCAGCATTATCAACTAATGACCACTCCCCACACCATGGGGTGTGTGATCATTGGGTCCGAGAATCATGTGCCCTGAGTGAGCGCAGTGAGCCAAGAGTGACAGCCTTCTGTATCTTCAATATTTTCATTAATGATATTACAGATGTATGTATGTATGTGTATTTCCTTTTGTATGCCGATGATCTAAAACTATACTGCCTCGTTGAGAAAATAGATGATTGTGTGAACCTCTCAGAGAAACGTAGGATAGGTTGCAGAATGATGTTATCGAAACAACTTGTCGCTAAACCCGGATAAATGTAAGGTCATGTCCTACAGTTTAAAAACAAACATCTTGATCTTTGATTATTCGATAGAAAACGTTTTCCTGGTGAGATCAGAAAGATTTACTGATCTTGACGTCACATTTGACACTCAACAATCATTTAATAGGCATATCGATAATGTTGACACCTCCTCGTGTCCATTGTACGGATTAATTGCACGCGTAACAGTAGTCATTTCAAAGAAACTTCGATCTCAAAAACTTTATTCTATGCTTTCATAAGGTCAAAGTTAGAATACGCGTCAGTTGTGTGGAGCCCCTTTTATCAATATCATAATGATAGAATAGAAGCAATTCGAAGACGATTTTCAATACTGCTAAGCCTAAAAACCGATGGCATTCATTCTCCAATAGGAACAACCCACTCTGAATCACTACAAAAGCATAACTTTTGCAGTCTCGAAAAAAGGCGTGAATATTATCGTGTTGTACTAACCTATAAAATTATCAAAAACATTGTTGACTGCCCAACATTACTGGAAAAGTTTAATATTTGCATTCCTAGAATCTGTTCCAGACACCCGAGTATTTCTATTTAAAAACATCTCGCAAAAATGTTCTGGAGAATTCTTCAATCCATACCATGTGAAAAGTGACAAACTCTCTTAGCGATAATTTAGATATATTTAGTTGCGAATTGTCAGATATAAAATCCCACTTCCTAAAATAATTGTTCTGTCACCTATAATAAATATAAAATTGTAATCTTTAATGATACGTTCACTTGTAGCATATCATCTTCCACATTCGAAAATGAGAATTTTCAGTGCAACACTTTATCTTCTGATGATGTTTTAGTATTTTCTCTGTTGTAAACAAACCAGAAAGCACCTGCCAATGGTTTTCCTCCGGAATATCTCTGTGAAATATCTTTGCAGGATGCGTAAATATCAGGCTTTTTCTGTACCTCCATCTCGAAAAACAAAATTTTGGATCATCTTCCACATTGTCGTCCTGACTGATTGCGTATTGTGCTCCAGATTCCTATCATCCGGACTGTTTATTTCATCCTTCATATTCGAGCATTGAATTAGTTTTAATTGCTTTGAATTCCGCCACATTCATGGAGATTTTCCATCTCTAATTTCGTCTCGAAATTGCTGTGAATACACAAACTTGTTCTGCTTTGAATCCAAACCTAAATTATGAGAGATAGTGGAATTTGCTAGCACATTCGTTTCGGGAGTATTCGCATTAACCCTTTTCAGTGGACTAGTTTTCACATTCAGGTGTCTTCATGGAATTTTGAAGGTGGATAATTATAGAGATGCTTCATGCATGATGGAGAAATTAAATTCGAGGTTGTTGGAAAATTGAAAACTATGTGAACGTTCGCACAGTTTGGTTAACGTCTGGAGAGTCAAAATAAAGTGGCACTAGGTCAGGACGGCATGAAGGGATTTTTCGAAAAACTCCACTACTTTCTTGAAAAATTCCAGCTTCAAACACAAAATTGTCACTCGAAATTTAGACTTCAACTGGAAATTACTACTCCAAATTCGAAATTACCACTTCCCTGAAATTTTAACATCAAACTGAAAAGTTCGACTTCAACTAAAAAATTGTGACTCTGATCCCAAAATTTCGATTGAAAATTCGCCGTTTATATTTCGAAATGGACGGCGCTAAGACTTCCTTCTTCGCAGAAGGCGCACCTATATACCACTGATGATGTCTGCCGCAGTGGCAAACGAAACATTTGAAACTCCAGGTTCTATTAGATCACAGCCTACTAGCCCGGATTTTGTTTTATTTGATCGAGATTCCAGCTGTGAAAGCTTATGTTCCCATAATGGAGGAGCTATTTCAAGTTTGAAGTCAAAATGTCGTGATTGAATAAGTAAATTCAACTAGAAAATATATATTTTGAATTACAAGTTCGAAATATGTATTTTCTAGTTGAGCGTGAGCGTGATAGAAAGTTATCAACTGATTTTGTTCCAGTGCCTCTTTTGAATTCCTAAAAATAAACGAAATGCTACCTAACTTTGACACTAACTGTTCACAATGAGATTTCCAGGTGGGAAATTCATCAACATATACACCTTAAAATTTCACGGTTTCTGCAGTACTGCCCTTTGGTTCATTATCAGATGTATGGGTGAGTTTTTGCTGAAACGTTATTTGCCTAGTATGAAACCTCACGATTTGTGTTTTCGACTGGTTGAAATGTAGGTCTTTACTACTATAGTAGGCAATCAACTTTTCCATATATACATTGCATTTTTCTTCAAGGCGGTCATAATCAAAATCTGATAGAATTAACGTAAAATCGTCAGCGTATGCTGTGTACATTTCATTCCCTAAAACATTCTCTATATCATTAATGTAGAGAATGAAGAGGATTGGACCTAAAATTGATCCCTGCAGCACTTCCATATCGAGTTTGGTTTTATCTGAATTTTTTGTTATTATCCCATCATTACATTTATGTTTTATGC